GGAGTCAGAGGGCTGGTTTCGGGGTAGGGACCGGGGTAGGGAGTCAGGTGGCTGGGGTCGGGGGGATCGGGGGCTGGGGGTCAGGGGACAGGGCCGGAGTGCGGCGGGGCTGCGGTCTAACAGCGCCACCCCCGCCTCCGGTCAGGCTGCGCGATGCCCCTGCACAAGTTCCCGGTCGGCCTGTGGAAGCGGCTCCGGCTGCGGGAGGGTATCTGCTCCCGGCTTCCGCAGCACTACCTGCGCTCCTTGGAGGAGGTGCGAACACCCACTCCTGTGCACTACAGGCCGCACGGGGTTAAGTTCAAGATCAACCCCAAGAATGGGCAGCGGGAGCGTGTGGAGGATGTACCCATTCCCATCTACTACCCCCCAGAATCCCAGCTGGGGCTCTGGGGCGGGGAGGGCTGGATCTCCGGCTACAGATACGTCAACAACGACAAGGTAGGGGAGCAGGGCAGGCTTCCAAGGACCTCTCTGGGGTTTGCTGCGCTGGGCGCAGTGCTGAGCCCTGGGGGTTCCGGGGTGGGGTGCGGTAGGGGTGTGTGCTTGCGCTGTGGTGGAGACTCAGTTCTGCGGAAGAAGCAGGCTGACCTGTGGGGATGCCGTTCCAGCTGACCTGACTGCCCGCGAACCCCGCTGGGTGTCCTGAGACAGTGGTACCTGTGGGAACCAGTCAGCGCAGGGCCACTGGGGAGTTTCGCCAGGCCAGGTGTAAGGATGGGAGGACGTCTGTTGGGGGGGGGGCGTCGGGGGACGGCAGGTCTTCGGCCCCCTGTCAGCCTGACACGCTGCCGTTGGCCTCCTTGTCATGACACAGCCGCGGCCGGCACTGGCACATCGTCACGGCACTCGGGAAGGCTGGGAGACACACAGCCGGCCGTCCACACCGTGCCGTGTCTGGTGGGAAACCTGGACGGGGAGCTGGGCCTTCTGGCTTGTGTGTTGGAGGCCCCCCAGGTGGCCTCTCCCTTTGCCTTGGCGCCTTGGTCCCTGGTTTGGAATCTGATGACCCGTGCACCACGGGGTTACGGTTGTACGTGTGGTGTGTCTGGAACACCACCGACAGCCCAGGCAGCGCTGAGGAAAAGCGGATCTCTGGGTCCCCAGGTGGGGTCTGGTCCATCTACCTCTTGGTCCCGAGTCTCAGGAAGAGGCCCTGGGCCCCATTAGGCTCTGTAGGGAGAAGCGGCAGCACTCACGAGGTCTCTGGTTCTCCCTTAGCTCTCAAAGCGGGTGAAGAAGGTGTGGAAGCCACAGCTGTTTCAGCGTGAGCTGTACAGCGAGATCCTGGACAGGAAGTTCACCGTGACCGTGACGCGGCGGACCCTGGACCTCATCGATGAGGCCTACGGGTTTGACTTCTACATCCTCAAGGTGAGCAGGGGCTGTGCCAGCACACAGCCGAGTCTCCTGGCAAGTCAGAGACTCGCTGGGGCGCGCCCGTGTCTGGGGTGCAGGGTCACCCGTGAACCGTAAATGGGCTCCCGGTGAGCACTGCTGCCTCCTTCCCTGCTCTCAGGCCTTCCTTTGCTCTGGGGGTGGCCTGCGGTCCTCCGGCTGCTGAGGAGGAGCCTGGTGGTGTCTGCTGGCGGGTGGGCAGGGCCCCCCCGGCAACACCTGGCCCCATGCGTAGCCTTCTGCCAGACTCCCAAGGAGGACCTGTGCTCCAAGTTTGGGATGGACCTGAAGCGAGGGATGCTGCTGCGGCTGGCGCGACAGGACCCCCAGCTGCACCCGGAGGACCCCAAGAAGAGGGCCGCCATCTACGACAAGTACAAGGTGAGGGCTTGGGTTTGAACTTCTTGCTTCCTGTGGGCCCCGCTGACAGGCGGTCCTTCTGCTCATTGTGTGCCTGGCCTCTCCGCTGCAGGAGTTTGTCATCCCGGAGGCAGAAGCTGAGTGGGTTGGCCTGACGCTGGATGAGGCCGTGGAGAAGCAGAGGCTCCTGGAGGAGAAGGTGAGCAGGCGTGGGCACTAGCAGACAGGCGGGGTGGGGGCGTGCGCTGCCTCAGGGCAAGCCTGGACTAGGGCCACGGCCCCCCTGAGCCGGGGGAGGAGCTGTCGCTATGCACAGCTGGCCAGATACAGCCACAGCCCTGGGTTCTGTGCAGCATGCCCTCTCCCCTCGAGGCCCTGACTTTCTCCTGCCCCCACCCCCAGCCGGCTTCATAAGTTCATGGACAGAAAGACTCTTGGTGGCACCTTTGGTTTTTTGGCTACGTAGCACCCCCTGCCCTGGGGTCTTCCTGGTATGGAGCTGAGGTCTTTTTGTGTCTTGCACCCCGGAAGCGTCTGGAGCCTGTGATTGCCGCTGGCACAGGGAACCCACCACAGTGCAGTGGCCACTGACTCTGTTCCCTCTGTTCCCGCTGCAGCCACAGGGCCCTGGGGCAGGGAAGCTGGGGACAGATGCCTGGTCCCTGTGTCCCCAGTGGCCCCCGTCTCGTGGACAAGGTGCTGTCCTCTGGGCTGGTAGCTGTGGCCAGGCCTGAGGGGTCTAGTCTTCTTGTACCAGATTCCTCTTGGTGTTTGGGCAGTGGCAGCTGGGTTCCCGTCTTCCCCAGAGCGACTCTCCCTGACCCGGGTCCCTCCCGTAGGCCCCGACGCCTCTGTTCAAGGTCTACGTGGAGCAGCTGCTTGAGCGGCTGCGGCAGCGGGCTCTGGCTGAGCCCGCGGTCGTGCGGAAGAAAGCCAGCAGGACGTGAGCGACTCGGACCCAGGCCCGGCAGCCGTGCTCCCCGCCTCACCTGCCGCGCAGCACTGTGGACCCAAGAGCCTGGGTGGTGCGGAGGCCACGCGTGGGTAGTGGATGAACCCGTTCTCTGATGACCCAGCAGCTTGCAGGGTTGGGCGGGTTTTGTGGAGGCCCCAGGAAGTCTCGTCCCAGGGTCCCCAGAGGTCTGGGGCCATCTTGCTGCCTCTGCAGTCCCCCTCCCCCCTCAAGTGGGGGCCTAGCTGACGTGAGGTCACCACACTTTGGGGGCAGCACAAGTAAAGTCTGAACTGGGCTATGTGCGTGCTGCTTTGCTTGGAAGTACTCTCCCGAGTAGTCTTTGAGCTCCTTGTGTCCTGCCCCAGAGACCCGGGATGTGGCTGAGCTGTGGGACCGGGATTGGTGTCCGTGTCTGGCCTTCCTCCAGGAGGGTGCAGTGTCGCTGAAGCCATCTAGCAACAGATCGTCTCCCTGTCATACATCCCCATCCGCCTGGAGGGCTCTCTGGAGCAGAGGCCGGGTGGCTTGGGCTCACCCTGGGAGTGGCTGGGAAGGAGCTCTGCTGACGCGCCATTCAGGGCGGTGAGCACCCCCACCAGCTCTCCGGAGGTGCAGGGATGGGATTCCTAGTGGGCGGCCGGGCCAGTGCCCTGAGGCTGTTCTGCTCCGAGATTTGGGGGTGCCTTGACCTTCATCCCCAGCCCTTTCCTGGGAGTACGGAACATTGAGACCCATTTGGATCACTCTAGGAGGACAGGGAGTGATCCCCCTGACCTGGTCCTGGCAGCTGACCCAGGGGCACTCAGCTCCCCTGACAGGTGCTGTGGAAGTGAAGACATCTGGACAGTGTTCATGGAAGTGGAGGCCAGAGGGAGCCTGTGGCTGGCCAGCGAGCGCAGCGGCAGGGGAGCCCTGGAGACCCCACAGCATAGGGACGTCATTGAGGGGCAGGGTCCCTCCTCTGGGGAGTGATCCTGAGATCTCTGGGTGAAGCTGGGAAATGCTGTCGTCAGTCCCAGACTCCTCTGGAACGTACCTTTGGACCCATGTCTTGATGCACACGATAGTTTCTTCATGGGGTGCCCCAACATTGGGGACAAATTTTATTTTTTTTTTTAAGATTTTATTTATTTATTTGACAGACAGGGATCACAAGTGGGCAGAGAGGCAGGCAGAGAGAGAGGAAGGGAAGCAGGCTCGCTGCTGAGCAGAGAGCCGATGTGGGGCTCAATCCCAGGACCCTGAGATTACGACCTGAGCCGAAGGCAAAGGCTTTAACCCACTGAGCCACCCAGATGCCCCCAGATTTTAATTTTTTTTTTAAAGATTTTATTTATTTATTTGACAGACAGATCACAAGTAGGCAGAGAGGCAGGCAGAGAGAGGGGGAGGCAGGCTCCCCGCCGATCAGAGAGCCCGATGTGGGGCTTGATCCCAGGACCCTGTCATCTTGACCGGAGCCAAAGGCAGAGGCTTTTAACCCACTGAGCCACCCAGGCGACCCCCAGATTTTAATTTTTAAGAAATTCTACCAAAAGCTGCTAGCACCCAGCCTACCCCTGCCCCAGCCCTGGCTGGCCTGACCACAGCCGCTGGCCACGGCTACCACTGTGGTGGTCTGGACAGGCCAGTCCTCAAATGCCTACTTGATCCCACTGGTTTCCCGTCCTCAGCCCCGAACTGAATTAAACGGATCCCTTTCTAGTACGGCCTGTATAACCCGCCCCCCCCGCCCTGTGCTGTGCACCCCAGATGCCCCCTGTCCACTGGCCATGGCTCTCAGTCACACCTCACCCCGCTGCTCTTTCTTGCCCCCACCCAGGCTACAGGTCCAGGTTGGGGGAGCTCCTGTCGCGACTTGCAGTGTTTGTGTGCCCGCCGGTAGCCGAAGGGGCCTGTGGCTGGAGCAGGATGGGGACTAGGCTGCCTGTGGGCCGTGTCGGGGGAGGGTGGACTCCGGCCTTGGTCTCCCTGTCACCACTGGAGGGCCATGCAAGAGTGTCAAAAGCACAGGCCCAGCCGAAGTGGGGTTACCACACTTGGGGTCAGCAGAAGGAAGGTCTCGGGTTTGCAGGTCTGCTCTCCCTGGGGCATGGGCGTTACCGCAAGCACGGCCCAGACGGGCCCCCAGGGCTGCTGGTCAGTACAAGGAGCATGGTGCGGTCTCGGCGGGTCAATTCCATCCCCGTAATCTGCGTCGGGTCTGATTGTGGTCTCGGCCCTTTCTTGGCAGAGCCAGTCTCTGTTTGGTCCAATCCTCACAAAGATCCTCCGTCCAAGGAAGTCCCAGCCATCCGTGAATGACGGACTTCCTTCCCCCCAAAATAAAACTCCTGGGGCCTGGGAAGGTGCCTGACAGGCAGAAACTGCCACGTGGTTCCCCCTGCAGAAGTGGGGAAGCTCGCCTACACTGCACAGCGACCCGGAGCTGGGCAGTGGGAGGCCACCAGGCCAAGTGCCCCCTCCGGTTTCACCTTGTTACTTCTGGCCACAGGCCACACCTCCACTAGTCTGCTGAGAGTCTCCAGTCCCCTCACGGAGGCCCTGCAGGCCCTCAGGCCTCTAGATTGGGGTGGCTGGTCATACTGATCACCATCAAGCCCACAGAAGTCCGGACTGCGCTGCGCTGGCCCCGGTGGGCAGACAGGCTGGGCCCCGTCCCTCCTCAGCCCTCCAGGAACCCTTGGGCAACGCCCTTGCTCGTGTGTTTCATGGCAGCCCAGCCCGTCCGTGAGGGCTGACCGTCACTAGCTATGGACGGAGTAGTCCCTTGGGACCGGGGCAGCAGAGGTCCCTGGCAAATGACCGTCAACACCATGGGGTCCTGAGGCCCAGGAAGGACACCTGAGGTCAGGAAGGGTGTGGCCCAGCCTGTGGCTCTGTGCCCGGCCCCTCACCTTGAGGGTCTTGCCTGAGTCCCACTCGGGTGTACATCGGCTTGCAGGGTGGGGCGTGTGGAGAGAATGGGCAAGTCCACAGCTTCTCTGCTAGGAGCCCAGAAGAGCTCTTGTGAAACCACCCACGTGCACTGTCTTTTTCCCTCTGGAGCCTGTGCTCCAGACGCCCTTCCGCCCCCACCAGCCGCCTGCCCCGAGTCCCATGGACTGGCTAAGCAGCATCAGCCCTACTCCCTTGGGCCCCCTCTGCCACAGCATGCCAGAGCCCTTCCCTGAGCCCCGGAATGCAGCTCCCAGTGCTGGACCCTCCAGCAACTCCAATTCCAGCGGACCCAGACTTATGTCCCCACCCACACCTTGTCCCTGGACAAGACCTGTCTGCTGGTGGAGTCCAGCAGACAAGGGGGCTTACTTGTGACTGAGCAAGTTGGGGTGAGGCCAAGCCAGTATGGAGAAGTCTGGGGCCAGGTGCCTGGGCTGGCTGAGCAGCTTCGGGGCCATGTAGCTCTGGGCCCCACCTGGCCCAGCCTGAGCCCGTTTCCCTTGGACATACAACCACTACGGACCTGTGTTCAGATTCTGTTTCCAGGTCCTTCTGACCTTGGCGGCGGCTTCCTCAGCAGCCCCTGGGCACCTGCCGCCGTGGCCTCTTCCCAAAGACCTGGGGCTCACGAGTCGTCACAGGCCTGTGACTGTTGCTCACTTGTCTTCTCCAGCAAGTGTGGGCTGGACGTGGTCCAGGAAGTGGGATGTGGCTTCCCAGGGCTCTCAGGTAGATGTCTCGTGGGGCCCTTGATGGTGTTTGTTCTGAATCGAGGATGTGTAGACTGTCTCAAGATGGGGGTGGGTTGGCTCCGGGGTGGTCAGTCCTCAGGGAGATGCTGTGTTGAACCCTTGATGAGAAGCACTGGTTTTGAGACATCCAAGAAACCCTTACCAAGGGGCTGGTCGCGGACAGACCCAGGGGTTCAGGCCAAGGGAAGAGCAGGTACAAAGTCACTGGTGCGGTTAGTTTCTGCAGGGTTGGGGAGTGCTTGGTGTGACTGAGGTTCCAGAGTCCCGCCGGGTTGGGGACACAGGGTCTGTGAAGCAACAGGGCTGGCCAGGCTGGGGCCTCCGAAGGCTCTTGAGAAGGGACAGGGTGAGCCTGTCTCTGTGTTCACTAGGTTGGTGAGAGTGGAGGAGGGGTTCGCAGGCAGAAAAAGCTGGCAGGCCCCTTGGGGGTCTCAGGTGGATTGAGAGCTTGGCTCTGTGTCCCTGAGTATGATGAGTTCCCCCTGCCCTTTCTCCCATTGCCCTCACCCATTATTTTCTCACTAGATGGCCTGGCCTTCAGCCCCTAGGGCAAGCCTGACCTGAAATCCTCCTCGAAGTGCAGGCTGCAAAGACATTGTTCCTGCTTCCAGCAGGTGGTCAGGCAGGACACAGAGTGGGCTGGGACATGTCCCGAGAGGGACCTGGACCCTTCACACTGGATGTACATGAAACACACACACACGCATGCACACGCACTCAACAGCTGGTGCAGGTACAGGGTCCTGTGATGCCTGACCCGACACTCAGAGGGGACCCAGTGTGTGGGCCCACGGCGGTATTGCCTGCTCCCTCAGCAGTCAGGAGTGGCTCAGGGGGTGGCGGTGTCTAAAGGGGCTGGTTGCCATGGCTACCATAGGGTTCTGAGGCCGTCATCTGGTCCCTGCCTCAGCCAATCGGCGGTGGGAGCCCGAGCTGCAGCCCAGAGTCACACTTCTTCCTCCCAGCCACACAGTGGCCAAGAGCAGGGACCCGCGTCCTGGAGTGACTGAAAGTGCTCAGACAGACGGCCAAGCCCATCATGGCGGACCGCGGGATGGTGGGGCGTGAGCAGGCACACGGAGCCAGGCAGGTGAGGTAAGCCGGGAGGGCCGACAGATGGGCAGACGAGCGGGCGGACAGGTGGATGTGCTCCCTGCTGCCCATTGTTCTTAAGGCTGGGGCCCTGCCCTCAGCCCCCCTGCCCTCTGCACCTTCCCGTGTGTGCTCGCACCCATGTCCGCACCCGACCCTCAGCCCGGGACCCTCTCCCCAGACGGCCCAAACAAGGGTCACGGGGAGA